AGAGTATTGAAGTAATCTATTACTGTATTTTTGTCTGTTTCTCCCATCAGTTCCATCAGTGTTTGCTTTACATATTTAGGTACTCTGATGTTGAATGCATATATATTTATAATTGTTATATTTTCCTGGTGTATTGATTCTTCCATAATTATATAAAATTCTTCATTGTCTCAATGACATTTTTTGACTTAAAGTTCATTTTGTCTGATATTACTATTGCCACACGTGCATTTTTTCTTTTTCTAAGTTACAATTTGCATGGAATATCTTTTTTTATCCCTTCACTTTCAGTCTATGTATGCCCTTAAATCTAAAGTGAGTCTCTTATAGACAGCATATAATAGGATGTTTTTCTTAAACTATTCAGTCTTTCTGTGTATTTTTATTGAGGAGTTTAATCTATGAATATATTTCAAGTAATTATTGATAGGGGATGATTTACTGTTGCCATTTTGTTCATTGTTTTCTGTTTGCCTTGTAGGGATTTTGTTGTTGTTCCTCTTTTCATTTCTTGCTCTATTCCTTTATGTTTTGTTTGTTTTGTTTGTTTGTTTAGTTTATGCTTTGATTTTGTTTTCTACTTTTTTATTTTTTTTTTTTTAAACTTCTGTAGGTATTTCCTTTGTAGCTACCATGGGGCTTACATAAAATATCTAACAGTCTAACACTCTTGTCTTAAGCAAGTAACAACTTAACTTCAATTATGCACACATTACACGTTTTCTTCTTCTCCCTTATGTTATTCATGTTAAAGTTTACATCTATTTATATTGTATATTCATTGGCATACTTTATAATTATGTTAATACTTTTTAAAAACTTTATACTACAATTAAAAGTGACTTACCCACAATCATTACAGTAATATAGTATTCTTTATTAGTTTATATACTTACCTTCACCAACAACTTTTATACTTTTTTATGCTACTGTGTTGCTATTTAGCATTCTTTCATTTTTGTTTTCATTTTCATTTCCCTTTCAATCTAAAGAGAAGACTTCCCTTTAGATTTCCTGTGAGGCAGGTCTAGTGGTAAAGAACTCCCTTAGCTTTTGTTTGTCTGGGAAAGTCGTGTTCTCTCTTTAGTTTTTGAAGAACAGTTTTGCTACATATATCATTATTGGTTCATAGTTTTAGTTTTCCTTCAGCTCTTTGAATATATTATCCCACTCTCTACTCTATTCTGACCTGAAAGTTTTTTTTGCTGAGATGTCTGCTGATGGTCCTAATGGATTTTCCTGCATATGACAAGTTGGTTTTATCTTACTGCTTTCAAAATTCTGTTTTTGACTTTTGACAATTTGATTATCATATGTCTCAGTGTGGATTTCTTTAGATTCATCGTATTTGGGTCATTTTGGCTTCCTAGATCTGGATATCCATTTCCTACCCCAGATTTAGAGAGTTTTCAGTCATTATTTCTTTAAATAAGATTTCTAGTCCTTCCTATCTTCTCTTGGGACTCCCATAATGCATATATTGGTCTGCTAATTAATGGTGTCCCATAGGTCCCTTAAGCTATTTTATTTATTTTTTTATTCTTTTTGCTTTGTGTCCCTCTGACTGGATAATGACAAATAATCTGTGTTTGAGTCTGCTTAGTCTTTTTTCTGCTTGCTCTAGTCTGTTGTTGAACTCCTCTATTGGATTCTTTACTTCAGTTATTGTATTCTTCAGCTTTAAGACATCTGCCTATTCTTTTATATTTTCTGTCTCTTTGTTGAAATTTTCACTTTGTTTATAGATTGTTCTCCTGAGCTTGTTGAGATTTTCCATGAGGGATACTTTGAGTTCTATGTCAGGTCATTCATATATTTTCATTAGAGTCAGTTTCTGGAGTTTTAGCTTCTTTCTTTGTTCAGATTGTGTTACCCTTTTTCTCCACATTAGAAAAATCCGCTATCACTCCCAGTCATATGAATTGGCCTTGTATAGGAGAAGACATTCACCAGCCAACCAAGCCAGAGCTTCTGTGGGCCTTTCAACCCATTGTCCTAGTTTAAACTGCTGTCTTTGTTATTAGTGTCCCCCAGGCATCCAGAGTATGTCCAGTTTCATCAATGCTCCTAGACAGGTGGCACAAAAGCCATTCCCTTGGTAGATCCTGGAGAATTTAGAATGCTGGGTGCATGTTCCAACTTTTCCCCTTCCCAGGGAGAAGCTGGGAACTGGGATTTTCCCCCTACCCTGTGTTGAGCCAGGTACAGGAGCTGTGGTACATGCCTACATGCTAGTTGAAACTGCCACTTTCTTCTCTGTAGCCCTCCGGATACTATCACATGCCAGACCCTTTCAACTCTTTGAAATAGGTGAGAAAGAAGCCAGTCTTTCAGGTGGCACCTGGAGAAGTTGGGATGTTAGATGAGCAGTCCAGCTTCTTCCATTCTGAGGTAGAAGCTGGGAATGGGGGTTTCCTCCTGATCCTATGGCACTGTGCTGGGAGTAGGGATTATGATGAGTGGATGTTTCTGCTTTTTCTACAGATGTTTTATTTACAATCTGGTTGGTTTCATACTTATCCAGGCTGCAGAAGCCTCTCCATGAGTTGCTGGATTTCTCATAAAGGGAATTGATCCTTGTGTTGCAATTAAATTAGTGTATCCATTGGGGGAAGGAGAGTCCAGGGCTTCCTATTCTGCCATCTTGGTGATGTCACTCCTCTCCCTTATTATTTCATAAAACTACATGTGAGTCTATAATTATCTCAAAGTAAAAACATAATTTGATTGTTTAAAAGAACCTCAAGTTTGCTAAAGTCTAAAGTGTCTCCTTCACCTGAGATTTTTCTGCTGGTATCTTTACTCTTTCCAATTATGAGCATGTCCATTCTTTTTAATGTCATCAAATTACAGTACTCATGAGATCTTCCCACCTACTAGGCTAATATTTTCTTGGCACAAGGAAAACATTGGTAATCAATCACTCCAGCTAAACTAACCCACTTCCCCCCCCCCACCCTTTTTGTCTATTTGAGGTTCTGGTGTGGGATGTATAACCGCTTTGACAAAGGGCTGCAGGCCAAGCAGAGTATACTAGAGAACCTCCTGGAAATTAAGAAACAGAGAGCAATGCTGGAGACAGATGTGCATGAACTAGAAAAGGTGAGGAGAAAAGTCCCAAAGAGAGATCTTCTTGCCCATTCTGGGTAGGTCCAGCCTGCTTGGAGTTGAATTGATACTTGTGGAAAGCTCCCTGACTGGCTTTTTTATACTCTTTGGCTTTTCATGTGTCCCGTGTCTACAAAGCTTTCAGCATAACTCCTTTTCTTACTTCCCAAAATGTGGAAAATATGTCACTCAACTACATAAACAAGTAAAGTTGTTCTCTTTATCTCTTTTTGGATCTGGATGGAATGAGTAGGAGGAACAAGAGGGAATGACTAGGGAAATCACATAGCATTTGTTATCCATCAAGAGAATAAATATAACATCTTGGGTATACTGATAAGAACAGTGCAATTGCTGTTTTCCAATTAAAAATCTTATAAAAGAAGGTTCTTATTTCCTTCCCATGTAGACTGCAAACTCAGCTTATTGAGTGACCATGTTGGACACTTGTTTTTTAATTACAGGTTACAGAACTCAAAAATTATTTCTTGTTTTCATAAACTGAGCTGCTTATGAAATGTAGGGATCCCTAAGGGTTTGTTTGAAGGACAGGGGAAAGGTACCTCTTAGAAAAGAATTATTGGAAATGGTGTGCTATTTAGGAACTGGATGTGAACCCACTTTAAGCCAGATAAGGCATAGCTTTTCTGCTTCCTGTAAGTAAACAAATGTCATTTTATTGTGAAAATAAATGTGTTGTGATTACATCAGATCCCAAACTTTTTAATGTCCTCTTGGGAGGCAACAGCCAGTTACTTGGTTCCATTTTTAAAAAAAGGTGGGAGGGCGAACTAAAGCATAACTTAAAATCGTAGGAAGCATGCATCCCCGAGAAGGCCCAGTCTTAAGTAGATTAGATGTAGTAGAGAAACTACTTCTTAGGGCTCCTCTTTTAGCTACTAGCAGATTCTTCCACAAGGCCCTCAGGGAAGGTGCCCTATTCTTGACCCAGCCCTTTCACTTATCCCTGCCTGACTCCTGAGAGAGAATCAGATTCATTTCACATAGACTCAGATCACTCTGGAAAGACTTCTTTTTGAAGTGTGTATGTGTTGTTATGTATGTGTGTTATTAACTTTCTTTTTTTAATACAGAGCAGAAAAACAAAAATGGCTGATAGTATCACCCAGATAACCCTGTTTACTTTTTTTAAAAGACAATACAAGTGTAAAGTTAGAAAATACAGAATATAATAAGGTACAAAATGAAAATTTAAAAGACTCCCCCCATCACCTTCAGAAAAATGTATGCATTTTTCTGAAGAGAAGGTCCATAATTTTCATCACGTTTTCAATGGGGACTTATGACGCCAAAGAATCACTGTTGTAAAGTATCAGTGAATCATTATATTATCTCTGAAAGTGAAAATATCTGTTAGAGGTAGCATGAGGTAGATGACAGGTCATAGACTTTGGCGTTAGGTAGATGCAGGGTCAGATCCTAGTTGTTTACTTCGTACATGTGCAAATTTGGGTGACTTACTTAACTTCTCTGAGCCTCAGTTTCTTCATCTGTAAAATATAGCTAATACCTAAACTAATAGGTTTATTATAAGGATAAACGGAAATACTGTGCGTAAAGTGCCTAGCACATAGAAGTATTCAATAAATATTAGTGATCTATTCCCCCGCCCTCTCCCCATCCCATGAACAAAATTGCACTTATCATAAAAGAGGACTTTTATAGATATAAGACCTTTGATATTCTTCAATGTTAGGGCTTCTAAAGTACTATGGCATGTGATGAGGGAAAGATGTTGTGGGGGAGGGGGCGAGCAAAAGGTCATTTGCTACCATTATAAGTGACAGCAATAGGATCTCTGCAGATCAAGGTGATGTTTGCCTAGTTTTTCTCCTGTTTCTAATTCTTCTTAACCCTTTCTTGCTCCTGAGGCAGAAACTAAAAGCCCGTGATGAGCCACCAGAAGAGATCTGTACCTGCACTCAATTAAGAAACTTATTATCCCAGCATCTGGGAAGTCCTTTGACCAATCCTCTTGGCTTTATGGGTATCGATGGAGACCTGAGTACCTTGATGGAGAATGGCACCCTCTCCAGGGAAGGAGGCCTCCGAGCTCAGATGGATCAAGTAAAAACCCAGTGTGCAGACCTCCACCATAACCATTGTGAGATTGTGAGCAGCCTTAGGGCCATAAATATCTCTGGGGATGTGGGCATCTCTGGAGGGACAGGCATCTCTGAGGCCATGGGCATCTCTGGAGACATGAGCACCTTTGAGACTATGGGCTTCTCCGAAGACTTAGGAATCTGTGGGGCCATGGATATCTCTGAGGCCACTGACATATCTGGAAACATGGGTATTTCTGAGGCCAGGGGTTTCTCTGGGGACATGGGCATCTTGGGGGACACAGGCATCTCCAAGGCCAGCACCAAGGAGGCAGACTACTCCAAGCATCAGTGAGTTAGTTACTCATCTTCCATGCTAGGTATACCTACAGCAGCTACAATGATTCTTGTCCCAGAGAGGGCTATGCTGCTTTTCCAATTGGTTTAAGTGAGTGAAGCCAAGGCATCCCTCTCCCCACTTAAGTCTGGAAGGGAATTACTTTACTGATTAAGTGACCAATATGTTCATATTAAGCAGTACAGAGTGTAGGCAAGAGAAAGAATATGTTATTGTTCTAAAATGGGATTTAACTATAGAAATGTTGCCTCTCAGGTGAGACACATATTAAGCTGGTTCTACTGTCTGTTTTCCTTAATGATCGACCGCCCCTATTTTCTATCCTAACTGCTGTAATGTGAGAGTGAAGTGGAAATATTGTCACAGTGGTCAATAATGACCCTTTTGAGGGTATGGAGAGATGGTATACAGCAGGTAACTGAATTGCAGAATATATTAAAAGAAAATCTTACTTTCAGGTATGCTTAGTCATGGAATATTAGCTAACATTGCCAATGGAGACATATAATGTTTTCCTGAAAAGGAAATCAAAATGATGCTTAATTGTTAGCATGAGTGCATGAGTGCTTGGTGGTTTGAAATATATAAGGAAAGTTTTCTTAAGTTACAACACATGCTTTCCCCAACCCACACCCCAGCTAGGTCTTGTTATAATACTTAGCCAATTCCCTTTTTCATAGATAGTCCATAGGTAAACTTGAATCCACTACAGTCTAAAATTATAAATTTCAAATTAATGGGGTTTGAATTAGTAACATTAATTGCATCAGTTCAGGAAGTAACTGAAAATCTCAGTGCTTCAGACTCAGACTGAGACATGGTCTGTGTGCCCATCTGGTTTTGTGGAAAATAGGACCTTTTTTAGGTCTTTTTATGAAGACAAATGGTTTTGCTTATCTAGATATCTCATGAGATTTGTGGATTTTTTAGACACAATTGGCACTACTTTTAAATCTGGTAGGTTTATCACCTTGTGCTAATGTACAGTTTTGAAAAAAGTCCATTCTGATAGCAGATCCAGATACTCCTGGGGAAAGGGATGTATTTTTATTTAAACACCAGCTTTTCTCCTAGGGGTTGATATACTTGATGGGTTTTTCATCTGTCCTATTGGATATTCAGTCATGATTTTGCTACTTCCACATACTGAGAGTAGGATAGGCCTCAGTCAGTTTGGGTCATGCTCTGTATATTCTCAGCAATTCCAGAACTCTTAATACCAACAGAATCCAGGTCCTCACCCAAAATGTCTGTTCCAAATACTCTATATTTGGCTTAAGCTAAAAAATTAGATGACTTAAAGAGGCATCCCTTGATTATCACATCCAGTTGTGCACGTAGAAATATCTAAAGGATTACCTCATTAGGTGCTTTTCTTTGAGAGAAAGAGGAACCTTTTAAGGGTTTAATTTAAATGTAGGAGAGGAGTGCCAGGATAGCTCCTTGATTTCTTATCCCTAGCTAAACTGTAGACCCAAAATATCCTCTTTAGTGGAAGAACTCTAAATCATCTTGGTTGTCTTTTTTTATATGTAAACAGGAGTCATTTTTCTATTTACTTCCTCTTGGTAAATTTTTAATTTTTTGTTTTTAAAGAACTCTTAATTTATTTGGGTCTTCCCCATTAATAAATAAAGGCCATATTTTACTTACATGTTCTTGATAGCTACCTTGATCCTATAATTTTAAAGCATCAAGATAATTTCCTTTTTTTATCTCGCTGGTCCTCCTCTTTCCATGATTTAGTCCTTGCTTTATATAACCTAAATCATCAGATGTTGCCAGTTGTCATTTGACTTCTTTTGGAAAAAAAAAATGGGGTTTGTGCACACCATTTTGATCTGGAGGCTGCATCTACTCCTGGCTTTGTGAAGGAAGTTGCCAAAAAGGATGACAGTACCAATCTGCCACCAGTGAGCCATTCTGGATCTTGCTCCCAGATCTTTCTCCCATATCTCAATCTGCATTTTGCAGTTTATTAATTAGCATGATGTTCTGGATAGAGTGTGTTGAGTTTTCAGAGAAAGTAAAAAGGTAAATGACAAGATGTAGTAGTTTTTGCAAATTCTATAGAAGACTGAAGAGTCTTGATTTATTCCTAAAGATCTGTACAGGTACAGTACATAGTACCTAATCTTATTTCTTAGATCAAAAACAAAATTAATCAATAGTGAAAGGAAGGTCTTTTCAATATAATTCTATACTAGAAGTAGTAAACCACAACTCTGGTATTTCCAAAGGTGAAAACAGCATTTTTAAAAGACTGGATTATTTTGTTAATTATCTAAGGCCATGGGATTGATCTCAGTCTCAAAATCTGTGAGGCCAGTTTGTTTGGTCTTTGATATTTTTATTCCCTAACTTGCCACATTATTACTTACATATAAAATATACAGAACTTAAAAAAAAAGACTGCATGAAAATCACCTATTTATTCTCAACACAAAACACCTTTTGGTTTTACAGTTGGATTTAAAAATCTGAGAAGAGCCTGGCCGCAAAGGAAGAAAGAGAAACAGGAGAACCTAGGCCAAGCGTGGTAGCTCACGCCTGTAATCCCAGCATTTTGGGAGTCCGAGGCGGGTGGATCACCTGAGGTCAGGAGTTGGAGACCAGCTTGGCCAACATGGTGAAACCTTGTCTCTATTAAAATATAAAAATTAGCCAGACGTGGTGGTGGGTGCCCGTAGTCCCAGCCACTTAGGAGGCTGAGGCACAAGAAGCGCTGAACCCCAGAGGCGGAGGTTGCAGTGAGTCGAGACCACGCTACTGCACTCCAGCCTGGGTGACAGGAGCAAAACTCTATCACACACACACACACACACACACACACACACACACACAAAAGAAACAAGAGAACCTAAATCTTCTCTAAGACCTCTCTCACTGCTAAGACTGTTTCCTCATCATAGTCACTGATCACTGAAAGACCATCTAAAATAATGGTGCCTGAGGGTTCACACCCTTGTCATTCATCTTCTCCTCACTTCAGTCCATGCTTTTTTACCTATGTCCCATCTGCAAAGTAATCCCAAAAGATATATATATACAGGCTGTTGTTAAATCAGGAGTATAAGTCACCTTTTTATAAAGTTAACCTAAGACTTTTCAATGCCGAAGAGTGAGCTATAGTGTTGGAAAGGTAGCATATTTCCAAAGCCATTTCAGAAAATCAATCTTGGCCTAAGTTAGAGTGAACTATTCCATTCTCTCTCTGCGTAAGTTAGAGTGAACTATTCCATTCTTTCTCTGCTATACCCATGATACCCCATCCTAACCCAGACACCTAGCTAATTTTGTTTTCCTGATGTGAAAAATACTCTAATTCAAAAAATAACCCTCCATCAACTTTCAAAGACAACATAGAAGAAAGTAGGCAGGTTTTATCTATTATTTGTACCTTTCTAAATCCAAATTAGATTTGATCTGGCTTCATCAAAACCAATAAAAATATAAAAGAACCATTAAAATAAGAATTAATACAAGTAACAGTTGGGTAAAATATGTGTTCCAGAAAAATTAAGGTAAAGATGATTGCTGCAATTGCAGTTAATATTAGAAAATAAGACAAAAGAAGAAATGTAAGGAGTTACATGGATTGCATTACTTAAGACAAGGTTTGTACCAGCTCGTTAGAAAAAAAAAGGTTTTAAGGTATTGTCTTTCAACAATTCTTATATCTTAATATTCTTGACATCCGATTATCTAGTAAGCAGTTATGTGTCACAGTTGTTTTATGCAATGTTTTCCATATGGCTGTATCTTTACCATTAAACTTCAAAGTTCAACAACAGAGTATTAAGTCATGCAGTGAGAAGGCCGTAACTTGGGATCTGTAGCTTTCCAGTGATCTAATTTAATACATGGAACAAGTTGATATAGTCTTGATAATTACTTTAGCCCTCAGGTGATTGGTCCTTGGCTAATTAGTTGTCTTAGAAGGTTGGGTAACTTCAGCTGGAGAGGAATATTTGAGAGGCAGGTCATTGTTGAAGACCTGAATGGCAAAAGAGAGTTGGAAAAGTCATTTCTCCCACAGTGATAAAATCCCAAAATTTTTAATATGTTCCAATAATACCAGCTACTACTCTACACTTTCCCCAGGAATGAGATTGGAAATTTATGGATTCAGATGCTGTACTTTTAGATGTTCTGCAGTGGTTTGGTTGGAACCAGAGATGAGACATTCGAAAATGTTACCTGAACTATGTATTAGGGAAAAGATTTTGTTTATCCATCTCTTTTGTTTCCCTTTGCCGTGAAAACTCTATCTAAATAAAACCTGTTCACCACGGAAAAAAAAAAAAAAAAAAAAAAAAAAGAAGAAGAACAAAGCGTTCAAGATAGGAAAATAAATAAATAAAAATCTGAGAAGAAAAAGATGGAATCCAGGTATTTATACACTATTAAAAGTAGATTAGCTATCTATAGGTAGGAGCCCAGCAATAGTGAGGAGACTCTTGAAGGTAAGTTGCCAGGAGTACTAGAAAAGATGATCTATTAATGGCTTTCACTTCATACTCTGATATAGCACCTATCCTGTGAAAGAAATGTGACTCCCTTCCCCCACTGTCCTACCTTTCCAGTTCCCCAAGCAGAAATTCCATTCTCATGTGACTACTCTACTTAAATAGGAAGGCATTTAACCACCTGCCACTGTCATCCACTAATCTGACCTCTGCCTGCTTTCTACACAAGTTTCACAGGCCTGGGGGGTTACTGCTTATCTTTTCTAAGCATGAGGCAGGCTCTGTCCCTGTGCTTGTGGCCGTGCTCAGAGTCTACCATGGCCACCGTTTTAAAAATGCATTAATTATTTACTTAGTTTATGGAATGACAGATTTATCACAGTAATAAATAAAACAATTTTAAATAACAAACTTAAATAACAGCTAACAGTTTGACTTTTTAAAGAAGAAATTCACTAATAAGGTTTGCTCTATGAAAGAAAACCTGAAACTCTATATAGAACTAATTAAAAGAATCTAAAGCTTATGGTGAATATATTAGACATGTGTATCTTTGGAAAGTACCCTTAGAAATTATGTTCATTTACCAACAAGTCAGTTGTCATTGCCTGCCAACATACATGAAACACCTTTTGTCTGAGATACCCCTCACACTTCACTGGAAGTGAGACCTTTCTCAGAACACTTCCAGCCAAAAAGGAATCCAAGTCTTTTTAAGAGGTGCTTTTCAAACCTAATTGGTAACTATTTAAGCTTGGCCTTAATTTAGTAGAAAGAGAAGTTTAATAACTAAAGATGATCATGTTAGTTCTTTGTTACATACTGGCTTTTATTAAACACCCAACTCTTTTGATGCTAATTAGGCTTTGATATACTATTGGGAAATCTCTCTATGAGAATATTTTATTAAGTGTACTTTTTCTAAACAATTGTGTAGGGTAATGTAAATTACCTTTACATTAAAATATCCCTCTCAAAAGGGGCTTACTGTACTCCAGATTGGTTTATACCTAGGAAGATAATTCTCACTTTATTACTTTCCAATGTTTATGATTTAGTGATCTCTAAACTAAATTTTTACCTCACCTTCAGGCATCTCACTCTCAGAATTGTTTGTATGATACAGGCAGATATGATTCCAACCAAGTCTGATTGCTTTATTCTAAGTGCCAAATCAAAACCTTCCTTTTGATGTACACATTTAAAAACAAAAAGACAAGGCTTAAGCCTTACATGCTGTTCCTATGTTTTTGTTTTTGTTTTTGTTTTTGTTTTAATATACTGTGAAGAAATGGTTGAGGTGTCAGGCAGTAACAGACAAATGGAAAGATGTGAGGTCATAACGGACTCTTGTTTTCTCGTCCTTTTAAAGGCAGTTGTGATTTCAGAGTATTTGATGGTGGCATAGAAACTTTTCCAAAGCAAAAAACAAAAACGCAAAATGTGCTTTTCAACCCCTATAAAACATGTCTTCTCTGATTCCCTGGCTGTGGGACTGACAGTCTTTGCCTTCCCCTGAAATAGGAAGTACTAGTATTGTCACCAGTCTTGGCAGCCCATGTCTCCTTTACATGTCAATGCAAGTAAAAGCATGTTACATTCTCTGTGATTTGTGACTGTTTTCATAAAAGAGAAGTGTGCTTTGAAAACAGCTGTCTCATTTAGACCCATGAGTGTTGCAGGAACTGAACAAACATATGCTGAGAAGTTGGCATGTGTGAAACCAATGGCTTCCATGTTAAGTCTGGTGTCCTGTCTCTTGGTGCTTTTTAAAGCATTGGGGGTAATCTGAAAGCTTTTTTCTCTTCCACAGCTTTGTTAACCTTTCAACCATTTTCATGGTTTCATACTTAACTTTGTAGAGGGCTCTACATCAGCCCTTACAGAATCCCAGTTGTGGAGAAGGAGGTGGGAAGGGTCGGGGGAAGAGAATAATACAGAAACATACCTGGCCAGTTCAACAAAAAGAGTATATACCTATCCATGATTACCAGCATTCCAGTTATTTAAAATTTCATGTGCTCCTTGAGATTAAATTGTTCACAATAAGGTCCAAAAGTCTTTTCCAAGTGGTACTGAGACTACTATATTTTCTTTTTAAGGATTTTACACTGATAGAAACTCTCCTTAAGAATGCTATGAGTTGTGTATTTTCTTTGTCAACATTTTTCTGTTGTGATATGTAGTCCTGGGTTTTCTCTTCTTTTAGAGAGTGAAGGATGATGGGTGGTATTCTCCCCCCTTAACATGTCCCTGAGGCAGATCAGTCCTTAGCTTTCTTTTGCTTCTTTTGCTGAAGCAACATTGGATTTCTCACCTGTCAGGTGAGAAACATGCCCCAAAATCATAGATAATCAGTGTTCAAAGACCCTTGTCTTCTGGTCCCACTTCACATGCATTTGGCCATACCAGTTCACATAAAGTGTCTCCAAGTCTCCACTTCACTTGCATTTGCAGACACGGTGGTTTCTTCATTTTGTGAATGCCAATGAGAATGCAGAGCACATATTCTACTTCTGAAACAGAGCATGTTGTATATTATAGTTTGACAATGCCTCTGGCATAGGAACAGCTAACAAGTTCAGTCCTTTTGGAATATAGCTCATAGTGTAGCTGTGTGTGTGTGTGTGTGTGTGTGTGTGTGTACTAGAACTTTAGTAGCATCTGGTCTCATAGGTTATTTGGGCATTCAGATGAAGAGGATTTGTCCAAGAAATTAGAAACTCTTTTAGTGCTAAGCCTCTTACTTTGATATTGTCTAGCTAAGTTTAATGAGTACTTTGGGACATGCCAAGCCAGAGATACAAACCAAAGTGAAGCAATTGGCCTTTTCTCTGGGATATATTATCAGGCAGCTTTAAAAGTAAGATTCAAGTATATGACCAGTGTTATCTGTAATACGTTAATGTCAGCCACATACCTGCATGAAGATCATGCAACTGATGTATAATTCAGAATTGAACTATATAGGTTCTTTGAGAACTTGACTTTTTATTAGCTCCAGGTTTACAGACTGACACTGTCACAGCAGCTCAAGTCTGAACTTGCCAAGGTACAACAGCATGAATGATTGACTTTAATCCCCTGTCATGTGTTATCTTAAGC